CCATCAGTACTATCAAGTTCAGTTGAGAAAGCAGCAACTATTTGCTTAGATGTCGACCATTTCCTGGGACATGCAACAGGATTCAGGTATCATCCCCAAACAAGGCAGGGCTGGCAGGATCACTGGCCGGCACCATAGTTTAGCTACAATTCTTGGAGAACATCAACCAGCAAAAGATCAACCGACCCAATTCTGATAAATAGGTTTAGGGAGAGTTCTGGCTTGCCTGCGTGAAGGGCAAGATTTTGGCGCTATGGCTGGAAATCAGCGCGGATCCGGAGGATTACGAGAGCCTTGCAGTTTGACGACGGTGGTATGAAAGGCCTTGCTGCGGCGCTGGCCTGGGTGGCCTCACCTTCGTGGTGGAGAAAGAGGCGATTGAGGAGCTGAGGCACCCGAAGGTTGTTGCGTTGGTGCACAGTCTCCTCGGCATTCCGTCCATGTTCAAGAGGCAGGCCCCGGACGTGGCGCAAGGCATGATCCAGCGCATCATCAAGCAGAATGTGGGTGCCAAGAAGCTGCCCGTCAGTGGAAAGTCTAGGTCAAAGCCGGACTTGGGCGTGACGGAGGCCATCGCCATGTACAACGCGTGTCCTGAAGTCCGGGCCCACGGCGGCAGCGGATCCGCACCTTGGGCATGAACGAGTAAAACTGTGTCGAATGCCTCTTTTTGCCCGCAGCTTGGAGAGAGATGCAAGTTGTTTACAGCCACTACTAGTAGATGCGGTTTACTGCAAGGAGCGATCAGGGACCGGAAGTCTCGTGATTGATGGCAAGAAAGTCTGGGCCATCAAGCACTGGATGGAGAAATGCTCGGCGGAGGCCAAGGAGGTGGTGAAGGACTCCTTGCAGGATTACCCGTTCCACCTCGGACCTTTTGGAGAACAGTTTGCCATGGTCGGCCAAGTCTTCTTGGGCAGCTGCGCGGAGGATTTGTCGGCCTGTCCTCAGGGCAAGCTAGTGCCGCTGGCGAATGAGGCTTCAATCCCGGTGAACTGGGAGCTTGCCCTTGACTGTACCGCGCAGACCATGCTCTTCTCCCGCGTCAAGATCGCTTTCAGCAAGGCGACGGGAATCGTGGAGGACGTTCGCGAGAAAAAGCGCAACAGGATGAAAGCGGACGAGCTGGCCCTCAGGAACATCCTGGCCTTTTGGAGCCAGGTCCGCATGTTCTGCAGCTCTCGGCTGCCTGGCTTCGAGGAGTTTGACAGCAAGCTCAAGATGGGCAACACGGTGGACGACCAGTTCCAGATCATCATGGACGAACGTCCCAACTCCTTTGCCATCAGCATGTTGCCCGTGGCACAGGCAGCAGCTGCTTCTGAGGTACGTGCTCAGGAGGAGTCGGCTACTATGGAGGTGGACAAGCAGCGTGTGGAGCTCCGAGCAGCTCGCTGGAAGTTCTTTCAGGCGGCGCTGGAGCGGGATCAAAAGAAGTTGGCGCTGGTCATTGACGCTCGCCGAAGCTGGAAAGCCTCCGCCACAGGAAGGAGATGAGCTGGCGCATGGAGCAGGCACGGCTGGGAGAGCGGGTCGTGTCCGCCTACACCAGCAAGTTTTTGCGGACCGTTCTTGTCAAGCAGATGGAGCACATGCACGAGCACGTGCACGAGTTCCGCAACTACGTGGCGCCTCGGGCTGCGTTGGCTCGTTTTCGCAGAGCTTTCCTTGTTGGCTTGTTGGTCGGCTGTGGCGACATCACGCTAACAAACTTTTCCCGACAGGCGGATGCGGCTGGGGTCAAGACGTCCGACATCTACGTCGTCTGCTATGTGGACCTGAACGTCCCGCTGACCAACTCCAAGGAAAAGATGAATGAACTGATGACCGCTGTGCAATTCATCAACGACATCAGTCCGACCCGGCACATCGCCGTCGTTGAGTTCCCGGAGCAGGCCAAAAAGAGCAGCAAACGCGGATTGGCGGACGAGGAAAAGGAGGTGCAGGAGACGTTATGGAGCTTGCGTCAACACTGCGACACACGTTGGGTGCTACCTTTCGACGTGCAGCCCTCCGCAGAGAACCATAGCCAGCGAAGGAGAGAAGTGAAGGCTAACAGTCCTGAAGTGAATACGTCTATTGCAATATAAGTAACACTAAAAGTATTGATGCTAATCAGTCTTAGTTATACCCAGTTCCCATGTTGTTTTTCCCCACACTTCATTGACTCAAATTTTGCTGGAGGCGATGGAGCTACGGCCGCCTGGTTTGCAACCACGACGCTGAGCCCATCAACGTGTTTGCAAACGGCTGAGAGCTGGCGATGGCAGGACGTCCGCTGGGCGATCTCAGCAAGGAGCTTCTCTTGCCGGAGTCGCTCAACCCGAATGAGGACTTGAGGACTGCTGACAGGCAGCGCCCAAGTCCAGAGACGGTGGCGGCGCAGAAGGGGACCGACAGGTTCATGGCAGTGATCCCTTCGATCCTGAAGTTGCCAGCCGGTCAGCTGGGCAACCATCCAGTGATCATGATCAACTTAGGGACACTACACTTTACTCCACCAATTTGGCTTGGATGTTTTGTCTTTGGGGTGTGTTTTGGCTGGTGACTTCTGGGTTCATGCGCTGTGACAGCCGCATGCATCCGAACCAAGATAGTGGTTTGCAAGTGAAAACTGGACAACTTGTGTTCAACACGTCTCATTACCGTGACCTCATACCAAGGGATAGATAATAATATTTCTTGTTTGTTGACAGCATTGTTTTCAAAAGGGCAGGGGTGCGATTTGGGTACGTGTTGTGAAATCCTGCATAATCTCCAACCTGCAAATATACCAAATGCTTTGTTTCCTGAAGCCCGCTGATTTGGGACCCAAACGCAAGTAAGAGTACGTGTGGAGAACCCCAACCCTTACCCCAACCTCAAAATGGTATGGTTTGACTGCCATCATTAAGTACCGATGGAGAACTTAGTGAATGACGACTGCCAGCCTCCAAGGTCTTTGAGCACCGCCTGAAAAAGACCATGTGTGGGACGTGGTGCGCGGACAATCTCTACTACCTCAGTGTCTCATGGCTGTCGAACGACACCTTCGGCCAGACGCGTCTACTTCGCGAGGTGACCAACGCGTGGCTACAGCGGCGCTTTGGGTACTCTGGCCAGAAATTCAGCGACCAGCCTCCTTCGCTTACTGCGGAGGAAATCAGCAGCATTCCTGGGGCAGAAGCGTCGCTTGGCAACCTCGACAGCATGCGTTTTGAGGTGCTTGGGCGCATTGCGGACCAAATGCAGATCAAACAGGACGAGCACAAGTTTTGGGCAGCGCAGGGTGGCGAGATCAGCGAGACCTACAACGCCTGGAGGGAACAGCACGCCCAGCTGCTGTCAAAGTTGGGAGCTCAAGGCTCGGAAGCGCGCGGCGGTCAGTCTACTACTGATGCAGCAAACGCAGGGGCACAGGACAGGGGTATCCAAAAGCCCACGCAACAAACAGTATTTGCATGCTACTGTTGCTTGAGCAATATGGGCAACAAAGCAGCGAGTCTGTTGCTTTGAAGTTGCAGGGCAAAGTCTCCAGCTATTGTTGGGCAATATCTAGCGTACAAGGTTCCCATACTTGTCACACTTGTTTTTGCTTCTTAAGTTCAGCCACCTCTGGATGTCAATCTTTTGGCTGCCAACCTCACGGCTACCCCTCAGGATGAAGCGGCTACATTGCCTGAGGCTCTGGAATCCACTTGAAGTCAAAGGACGAGACGCCCTCAGAGGTGGCTGGCGTGGAGCTCATTCTCACCAAGTCTGGCCAGATCTGGTTGGTGTCAGACAAGGACAACGTTTTGGCAAGAAACACGCAGCTGGGCGGCTACGGCACTGGGCAGTACGTCAAGACCTCGGACGAGGGCGACGGCACGACCTACACTTTCCCGCTCAAGGACAAGACCATCGAGCAGCTGGACGAGACTAGCTTCCGCGAGAGGGTGGCCGCCAACACGGTTTCCACAATGACCTTTTACAAGTTGTTGGTCATGACCGAGCGCGAGTGTCCTACATGACTGTGGAGCGCCTGGCGGATGACACCTTGGAGGCTGGCATGGACGCCTTCAGCTTGACCATCACCCAAGACATGAAGTTCAAGTGCGTTATGGGGGACAAGATCACATGCAAGATCTTTTGTGGTAAAAACCCTCAAAGTGTGAAAGCTAGCCAAATTATTGGCACAGCATTCCGATTCCGCTTTGAGCGCGTGGGCATGAGCTTAAAGGCTCAAAAGCCTTACGTGATATGCCATTCGGCCTTAACCCTTCAAAAGGGCAAACCCTTGAAGCTTTCCGGATAAGCCCCAGCCTTACTTTTCCGTTGTGTTTGTCACTTTGCATTCTGCATCAACATGGGCAATGCTAAACTCCTGATTGAACTCAAACCATTTTAAGACCATGTTGGGTGTTTGATTCGGGGGTGCCATATGGAGGTCAAGGAAGCGTAGGGGCACTGTGCCAATGGGAAGGTGGCCACTTCTAAAACGAGAAGCCAAGTTAGCAAACTTGTTTGTTTGAGTGTGTTTGATCAAGCCCGCCGACCCCAGCGGCGCAGTGCATCGCATTACACTCAGAGACGGAGTCGCGAGATGTAAGATGAAACGGTTTGCTGCTTCCGTTGCTGCGAGAGATACCTGGGATGCCTTTCAAGCTTTCCTCATGACAAAATGGTTTCCCTCCCAGACGTGTTGCGCAGGACCTGGGGGTTGACCAAGGTTGGAGTTGGACCTGACATGTTGCAATAGACACTGTTGTTTCTTCGAACCGAATTGTTTTGGGGTTGCTGCATCCTTGTATTGCGAATTGTGGCAAGCTGTAGCCCTTAGCACTGTCCAAAGGTTGTAATATGTGCCGAGTTGTTTGGTTATTTGACCCCTGGCCCTGCAACAGGTGATAACGCTAAGTGGGTCAAGCGTAAGAACTTTGGCAAAGCATGTGTTGCATCATCAGGACCCAGCAATTTGGACAAACACATGGTTGCAAGAAGGGTGGCCCGCTGATAAAGGCTAACCACAACTGTTGAGAGCCTTGATTTGTATGAGGCAAATTACTGTGTTCCAAGTACAAAGCCGCTCAAGTGCGAGGCAAAAGGGACCCTCGGTTGACAGGAGTCACGCTGACAACGGCACACCTTCACTTGAAACTCAAGCCATGCTCAATCGATGCTTTCCCGTTGTATAAGTTGTATGAGTTTTGGCTCTATTTGGGTGAGGCCACCATGTCATTTAACATTAGGGGCGCCATTTTGAGTCAGCTGGGTCAACGTTCGGCCTTGCCTCGTGATGCGGGCGCCGCATTAACAACATCCCCGCAAACCAGTACGCCGCCTGCAGGAAACAGCAGCCGTGAAAGCCCTGCCCCAAACACCGAGGAGAAAACCCTGTTTCATGAGTCGCCAGTGGGTGAGCCTAAGCCTACTTGCGGACGTGGGCGAGGACGAGGGCGGGGACGCGACAAAGCAGACCGGGGACGTGGACGGGGGCAAGGTCAGCAGGCGAATCGGCAGGTTGAGACTGGCCCTTCAGTATGGAGTTTAGCACGTTGTTTTCTTGTTTTCCTTTTTGGGGAACGCGGTTGCTCACAAGTCAAGATTTGTTTAACGAACACTTGATACAACTTGTGCTTGGTTAACACCAAGCACGTTGCCCAAAGCTAAGGAAAGAAGGCTGTGGAGGTTTTGAAAAGACCCGCCCGGGCTATGAAAAAGCCAGCAGCAACCCTGACGCCATCTTCCACATCAACAACAAGCCTTCCTGAGACCAATGCTGGTTCCACTACTTCTGTCAAGAAGAAGCCCAGCATGAACACTGAGAGCAAAGCCCCGATGAAAAGGCCTAGCGCTGATTTCAACCCCTAAGATTGAAGCAATTGCCGCAGAGCGGCCTTTGCAGGAAACAGCAGAGGAGGAATACCCTCTTGAAACTGACCCTGTTGTTAATCCATGTACTTTTGCTTTTAAGCCGGATCCAAAAGAGGCAAAGCCTTTGAGGTTGCCGCGCCATACAGATTCCAAGCCAGTAATCAAAGCCAAAGCAAAGCCTTCTTCAACAGCCAAGCGCAAGCCTGCAGTGCTGGTGTCTAGCAAAGAGTGTGATGGCTGGACATACCAACGCTACCGGAGAAACACTTCGGGAACCCCTTTTGTGAGAATTGCTTCTCCAAATGGAGCTGTGTACTGGAGCCTCAAGAAGGCTATCGAAGATAGCTTCAACAAGGGGGACTAGAGGAGGCAGCCAGAAGAAGAAAAGGTCCAATAGTGAGCGCTCTTTCTGCGTTTTTGCCGTGACTTCAAAGGACCAGAGTCCATGAAAGGACTAACTTTCGTAAAAGCTCCTTAAAAACGAACAAGCAAACAAAAACGAACAAACAACCACAAACAAACAAACAAACAAACAAACAAACAAACCAACCAACCAACCAACCAACCAACCAACCAACCAACAACAACCACAACAACCACAACAACCACAACAGCCACAACAACCCACAACAACCCACAACAACCCACAACAACAACCCACAACAACAACCCACAACAACCACATCAACAACCGCAACAACAACAGCAACAACAGCAACAACCGCAACAACCCACAACAACCCACAACAACCCACAACAACCCGCAACAACCCACAACAACCCGCAACAACAACCCACAACAACAACCCGCAACAACAACCCGCAACAACAACCCACAACAACAACCCGCAACAACAACCCACAACGACAACCCACAACGACAACCACAACAACAACCACAACAACAACCACAACAACAACAGCAACAACAACAGCAACAACCGCAACAACCCACAACAACCCACAACAACCCACAACAACCCACACCAACCCACAACAACCCACAACAACCCACAACAACCCGCAGCAACCCGCAACAACAACCCACAACAACAACCCACAGCAACAACCCACAACAGCAACCCGCAACAGCAACCCACAACAACAACCCACAACAACAACAACCCACAACAACAACCCACAACAACAACCAACAACCACAACAACAACCACAACAACAACCACAACAACCCACAACAACAACCACAACAACAACAACAGCAACAACAGCAGCAACAACCACAACAAGCCACAACAAGCCACAACAAGCCACAACAAGCCACAACAAGCCACAACAAGCCACAACAAGCCACAACAACAACAACAACCACAACAACCACAACAACCGCAACAACCACAACAACCACAACAATCCACAACAACCCACAACAACCCACAACAACCCACAACAACCCACAACAACCCACAACCACCAACAACCAACAACAACCAACAACAAACCACAACAACAACCCACAACAACAACCCGCAACAACAACCCGCAACAACAACCCGCAACAACAACAACAAACAACAAACAACAACCACAACAGCCACAACAACCCACAACAACCCACAACAACCCACAACAACAACCCACAACAACAACCCACAACAACAACCAACAACCACCACAACAACCACCACAACAACCAACACCCAACAACCACCCACAACAACAACCCACAACAACAACCCACAACAACAACCCGCAACAACAACCCGCAACAACAACAACAACAAACAACAAACAACAACCACAACAACCACAACAGCCACAACAACCCACAACAACAACCCACAACAACAACCCACAACAACAACCCACAACAACAACCCACAACAACAACCCACAACAACAACCACAACAGCAACCAACAACAACCACAACAACCACCACAACAACCACCACAACAACCAACAACAACCAACAACAACCAACAACAACCAACAACAACCAACAACAACCAACAACAACCACAACCACAACAACAACCACAACAACAACAGCAACAACGGCAACAACAGCAACAACAGCAACAACAGCAGCAATAGCAGCAACAGCAACAACAGCAGCAACAGCAGCAACAGTAGCAACAGTAGCAATAGCAGGAACAGCAGCAACAGCAGCAACAGCAGCAACAGCAGCAACAGCAACAGCAACAGCAACAGCAACAGCAACAGCAACAGCAACAGCAACAGCAACAGCAACAGCAACAGCAATAGCAACAGCAGTAGCAACAACAACAACACTCTGCATTGAGCTGGAGACCTACATATGTAAAGACGAGTTGTAAATGGAATTTCTCAGCAGTATCTCAGTATATTTCCTAAAACGCTATGATAGACAAAGCAAAGGTGTGCGTGTAAACACATAGTCAGTAAAAGGCGGTCGCCTGAGCAAGGCGAGAACGAACCCGCGGGCTATTGGTCTCAAAAATATATTTATACACATAATTATTACAAACGCGTGCGATAACACGATCGACCCAAAAAAATCCTAGGTGCAACAAAGTATTAGGAAAACACCGCTAATTAGAACAATCGACCGCAATTCCAAAACTTCTCATATTACTAAACTCTCGTAAAACGGGCGTAATATTTCAATTAATAGCTACGAAATGTCTAAATAAGCCCAGAAAATATCCTTCACGGATATATTCGTTTCCCAATAGGCCATGCCAATGTGATTTCGATTAACCTAACGGCTATATATTCGAATCTCTTAAGCTAAGTCAAATCGGCCAATTTTATCATTTCGTTATTAACCTATTCTTGTTACTTTAAGCGCCCTTTTTGTACCACCCTTTTGAGAGCTAAACCAAAAAACTATTTTTTATTCACCTATAAAGCTTTAAATGAAAATAAATCCATATAACACATCCAAAAGCCGGATTATGGTAGCGAATTTTCGGACCAATAATACATATCAATACTCTCTATCGCTAAATTATTAAGCATAAAATAATCCAACTTATCGAGAAAATAACAAATAAGTAACGATTTTCTAAAAATATCAAAATTTTTTTAAGAAAAAACAAGCCAAAACACACACACATAAATACAACAAACAATTTTTGCAATTTTATATCCCAAGCCTAAGCGCGTGGAACCCCTATTAGAGTTCCCGTGGCTAGTTATGGAGCCTTTAAGAACT